TTGATTTTGCCATCATCTGCAGCCGTTTATGGTGCTGGGCTCCTCATGTTAAAAGCTGGGTGCTCTGTCCTCCCCCACGCCCGCCCGTTGCCATGCTGAGAAAGGAGAGGTGGAATGAGGATAATGTTCTGTGTTCTCCAGAGGTCTTGGCTTGCTTTAGAAGCGTCCTGTGCCACTCAGAAGTTTGCCTAGGCCTTGTCCCCTCCCAAGAATGGATTCAGATCATAGTCAGCTGGGATTTAGGAGGCTAAGCCAGTCCTGTCCCTTAGTGGAGTAAATTGCAGCTAGAGTAGGCCCATTGAATCGGGGGATTCTGTGAGTAAGCCCCCAGGAAGAATGATTATTCTTAAACTGTACATACCCATGTCTTACAAGGCTCTGTGTCATTCTGTACCCTATCAAAGCCCGCACAGTCCAGAGAAAGAAAATTTGGGGGAATATTATGTGTCTGTGTGTTTTAAGTTGGTGTACATCAACCAGAACCCAAAAGACAGTGGTTACAGAATCATGGAAGTTGTAGTCTGAAAAAAAAAATTCAGTCCAACCCTAGTGTTGCCCACTTCTTTAGTTCTACCTGTGTGAGGACTCTACCACTCCAGACAGGGAGGAATCCCATAAAACAGGGCTGGAAAACTTGCCACCTTTCAGACATGAATGAAGTACTATGGCTCCCATCATCCTTTTGCATAGGCTGGGCCTGTGGGAATAGAGAGGAAGTGGCTTACAGTAACTCTGTAGGTTCCGCGAGGCCTGTCCTGGTCGGACTGTACCAGTTAAAGGGATGAATCCCTCACTCGCTCACAGGGAAGAGAGATTTTCCACTTTATCCTTACATACACCCCTGCAAGGTAGGCCAAGTTGAGAGGCAATGACTCTCCTCTGAAACCTGGACTGCTTACCAGTGACTAACAGTGCAATGGTGTACATGTCTACTCTGGTGTCAATCCCACTGAATGCAGTGGGACTTCCTGCCAGGTAAGTATCTGATTCCCGTTTTGAGTCTGGGTCTAAAACCACAGCCTGCAAAGCCCAAGCTGCAAAATTTAGCTGGTTTCTTTTTTCTTTTACAAATTATATCCGTTTCCATTACCTTCATTCCCTGATTTTTGTCCCACTCCCACCTGCAACTGAGGAAGGGCCCTGGAGCACATGAAAGCTGGCACCGTCCTGCCATGTGCAAGCTTCCAGACGCTCCAGAGCACTTCAGCAGCAGGCTGGGCATAGCAAAAGCCTTGCCCAACTACAGGATTTTGAACTGGGGTTTTCCTTGTGGATCAGCTGCCTGCAGGGGTGGCTTATAAATCTGTTCCTGTAAAGCAGGCAGGCAGAGTATGGTTCTCGGCTACTACAGTTCTCATCATCCTTTAGGTGGTATGGGTGGGAGTTACAGTCGGGTATATTTGAAAGGCTGCCTGGGTGCAAAAAGTAATGATAAACCCCCACTTATAGGCCTTGTTCCGGGATTTGCATATCCCTATACAGCTTAGGGTGTGGATCAGAACCTAAATGGCTTCCTCTGCATTTAAATCCTTTTCTGAGTTGTTCTAATCTAGAGGATAACATTAAAAACCGGTGGGTGGATTGCAGGGAAGCAGCCTTAAAGGAAACTTTCTAAAAGGAAAAAAAGCCATTCACCTGTGGAACAGCCTGCCTCAGTACACAGTGGGAAGAACTGTTTATGATTCGAGCGAGGGGATGACCCCTCCGTGTAGGGTTGATGTGCCCTCACAACACCTGGGTGTGGGCTTTTCTTCCTGGAGATATCTCAGCAGAGGCTGGAGGTATGCTGTCACACATGGGGTCAGACTATAGGACCTCTAGAAGACTTTGAGCTCTCCAAGGGCTTCGACGTGCGCCCCTTGAAATGGGGAGATGGAAAGGCAGCTGATTTATTGCAGAGAGGCTTTAAAAATAAAGCCAGTGGCTTTTTAGAGGGAGACTGAAAACTTTTTATTGCGAAATACATTTTTCATGATTGATTTATGTTTCTTTAATAGCCAAACACTCCACAGTGTCAATGAGCTTTCTGTTATTATAATTTTTTTTTGCTTCCTTGACAAGGTCTTTTCAAATGGGTCTCAACAGTTATTTCAAATACTCCAGCTAAAATAACTTAAAACAGGGAAGAAAAGAAGTATCCACCCTGAGTCCATTGAACAAGGGGAACGGATGGACACTCTCATTTGAAATAGTCAAAATCCAATTTAAAGACGAGCAAGCCCCATTTGTTTCAATGGGTCTGTTTTCTTCTGAAACACATTTACCTCGAAGCTAGAACTGCAGAGCTGGATGGGACCCTGTGGATCATCCAGTCCAGCCCCTGTCAGGGAGGGCCAGTGGGGAATGGAACTCCCAACCTCTGGCTCTGCAGCCAGATGCTCCAACCACTGAGCTATTTACCCTCTTTACATTATTGATTTTTATGGGACTTTGCCATGTAAATCTCTCTAATTTAAGAGAGCTGAGCTGCCTGATGAAGCAGAATGTCCGTCTATGTCTTCAAGCTATTCATAATTCCTTCTGTGTCTTCAAGCTATTCCTAATTCCTCAGCAGGCAGAATGCAACAGAGTTCTGTGTAGCTCTGAAGCTGCCTACATTGCCTGGTTAGTGTAGGAGTACAAAGAACTAGACTTTAGATTCAGAAGTGTAAATTCTGAAGCCATGGCACTTGCAGAGGTATTGAGAAGATGTGTTTAGGTGTTCCCACTGTATAGGTTTGCTGGTGGGAGGGCATATGGAGGAGCTGAGAGATGCCTTGTGTTAGATTGTCTGTTTAATTGCATGCTGGTTTTTGGTGCATATGCAGAAACATCTGTATTCAAGGAACTTCCTCTATTCCATCCATGCATAAATGCACCAACTAGCTCACAATCCACCGCAAGAGGCCTACCTTGTAAGGTCATTGTAACATTTCTTTTGTTTGAGGCACAAACTCTTTGAAGAAACTTCCCCCCCCTCCGCCCAACTAATTTCAAAAACAAGGTTTAGACATATCGCCCTGTTAATCTCTTGTTTCATAGGGGCTGTATCCTTGAAATACTGATTTAAAATGTATGTGTTAATCTTTAAAATACTACAGGATTCCATGCTGTAGGGTTTTTAAGGGCGGGGAGGAAAGTAAGTTTGGGGGAGCTAGCCATTTTAAATGCATTATTATTTTAAGTGCATGCTCTTACCAAAGCTACAGGTGGCAAACTCTTTTTAAAGCTGTCCTGTCTTGCATGGAGAAAGATTTTGGAGGTACCGTCAGCTGTGACATGCCCGTTTTTTAAAAAAAAAACGAGGGGAAACCTATTTTCCCTTAACCGCTGTTTTATTTGGCTAGAGATTTCATGAATCAATCACCTAAAATTCAGGCACCAAAGTAGCTAAGACTTTAATCAAGGAGGGGGGGAAACCCAGACGTAAAAAAGGAATCTTATATATGGAAGCTGGCTATGCTGAGTTCCGTGGGGCTGGCTAATTAGCGCTTGGGGCATCCACGTTTTATTTTTTTGGGGGGGGCACCAAGGTTCCCCTTCAGATGGGCAAACCTCTCTCCCTTTCCGAGGGTTGAAACCTCAAATTCCCTGGATCCTAGACAAGGAACTTGTCAACGCTGGTGGGGTTTTCAAAGAGGAGCCTACACGAAATTCTCATTTGCACCCAGGCCAAATTCAACAGGGTAAAGCCAGCCTCAAACGCAGAAAGGCCCACGTCTGACCTTCCAGGGTTTTAGCTGGGGGAACCTCCCTTTTTTTGCTGTGCTAAAAGGTGGCAAACGCCATTCAGCACAACAAATCTCACTAAAGACTTCGGAAAATGCCCTCAAAAGCTTGGTTCTCCCACATTGGACATGTCAGAATTCATGTTGGCAGGGGGCTAAAAAAGAAGATATTGGAGCATTCTCATTGAGAAAGGAACTAAAATTAAATTCCGGCCCCTCTCGCAGAAAAAAACAACCCATAGGCCAAAGTTGCTGTTTAGCAGTCCCCGAAATGGTAGGGGTTTTCCTAGGGAAAGGGCCCTCGTCCTTTGCTTGATCTCTCCCTCTCCCCTCTTCGAAAGCAGCTTATATTTTCTTCTTCTGTCTTTGACTGTCCGAGGTTTAGTGAGTTCGATTAGCCGGGTTCTCCGAATCAAGTTCGGGAAGAAAGAGGAAGAGGACGACTGCGACAAGAAAGAGGAGGACGGCGAGAAGAAAGCCAAGCACAGCATCGACGGCATTTTGGGTGACAAAGGTAGAGGAAAATGACCCTTGGGGGGGGGATAATAATAATAGCCAGGTCCCCTTCCTTTTCTCCACCCACTTCGGTGACCCCCACAGCGGCTCTCTTCCCGCTCCCCCTTTCGTTGGCTGTTGATGATTAAGAGAACAGGACAAAGTGGCTAAAGGGTTATCCCTGTGTGCGATGCTTCTGTTCCAAAGGGTCTGCCAGCCAGCCGGCTAGACCCGATTTGGGGTCGCTCCATTCCATTCTTCATCTCCTATATTTGTGTGTGTCCTGGAATCTCTGGGGTTCCCCCCCCCCGCAAGGGAGCAAGTCACTCTTCTTTCTGGCCTGTGCATAGTGGCCCACACAACTTAGGATGCTATAATGTGTAGATGCCCAGATGTAGCCCTTCCAGGCCACGGTGGCTGGTCCTCCTTCCGGCCATGTGCTGTTCTTTTCCCAGCGGGGCGTGAGGAGGTGTGATGGGAGAGAGAAGCTCTTCCCTTGGCCAACGCTGTGGTGGCCAATCATGGAGTTCTTATTTTGGTTAATTTTTTGTGGTTTTTGTGTGTTCCTCGTCTCCATCGCGTTCTGATCCCCCTTGGAAGCCTGGTCGGGCGTCCAGGCCGGGAAGACAGCGGCATGCATGTTTCTCAATTAAATATACCGACGAGGTGGCTGGCTGTAGCGGAAAGAAAATTCGGATTTGAACTTGGCCCCAGGGGGACCGAAAGGCAGAGAGCGGGACAAAGAAATGGAGTTTTTCTTATTCCTTGTTTGCCTCCCAGCTTTGTGAGAGCAGGGAGTCAGAACATGGGGTGCTCTGCGTGGGTTGAATTGCCGCAGTGTGAGATATCACACACACACACACACACACACACACAAACACACACACACACACGGCACCCTCTTTACCGCATGGGAGGTGGTGCTGCCGCATGGGGGGTTTTACCGTATGGGAGGTGGTGCTGCCGCATGGGGGGTGAGTCAGGCCGAGGGCAGTGTGAGCGAAAGGTTTGCTGCAGTTCCTCCTGGTGTGCAATTAGTTTTCCAACGTGTGCTTCTGGTCTGTATTTTGGTTTTCTGCACGCACACACACGCACCCCCCAAAAAATCTGGACCTAGTTAGCAAAACCGAGCGGCATAAAATGTGTAGATGAACACAGCCTCTCGCTTGGAATCATTTATTTCAGATTTGCTTGTTCTGGGAGGGCGTAAGGATCCTGACCACCCCCAAACTCATGTGCCAATTCTTTCCCAAACGAGATCTTAAGACTGTGATGAGGCCGAACGCTCAAACCCATGAAATCTAGAAACACGGCTTTGGATTTACCAGCGGGTTCCTGACACAGAAAATTGTGTGCCTCTCGTCGGTCACAAAACAGGGGTTTTAACTCCACACACAGAGCTAATGGGTTTTTGCATACGGAGCAAGAAATGGAACAAAATATTTACAGTGTTTGGTGCAAGCTTCGGAGTTCCACCAAACTCTTCCTTAAGAGGCGAAGTCCGTGATGTTGGCTAGCAGATGACCCGGTTACTGTTGTTTGGCACGGCTGAACACCTTCATGTGGTCTACCTCCTTGGCTTTCTCCTTCAGGAACAGAGTGTCCGAGAACGAATACATCACAGGAGGGGAAGCATTTTGTGATGGAGTGGGCGGACGCTGTTAATTTTGAAACCACATGGTCTTCCTTTTTCTTCCCACTCAGAGAATTTATCTTCCCCCCCCCCCCCGTCAGATGATGCTACCAAGCACCCTTTAGGCCTTGTGGCAATAGAGGAATATCCAGATCTTGTTCTGGGGGTGGGAGTGGGTGGGAAATGCAGAATCCTGGAATATCTTAAAGAAAATGCTACTTAAAATATTCTCCTTTATTTTGTTCTCTTTTTTTAAAAAGGAGGTTTTGTCAGTGGGGGAAGTGGAATAGAAGGGTGCCTCTCTCCCTTCACACACA